GAGGTGTTTGTACTTCCTCATCAATATCATGAACAGCAGAGAGATTGAGAGGATCTAAATCAACAAGATCATCAGTACTAGACTCAGCTGACTCAAGCTTGTCGATGTCTTCAATAGTCTGATCTTCCAAGAAAACAACATCTCGGCTTCTGACAACTTTCTTGTCAACTGTATCATACAACCTGTATCCAAATTCTTCATGCCCATAGCCAAGAAATATGCATTGCTTTGCTTTTGGATCAAGCTTGGACCTTTCATCTTTTGGAATATGAACAAAAGCTCTGCAGCCGAATACCCTCAAGTGATCATAGGAGACTTCCTTCCCTGTCCAAACTTTCTCTGGCACATCACCATTCAACGGAACTGAAGGAGACAAATTGATAAGATCAACTGCGGTCCTCATTGCCTCACCCCAAAAGGATCTTGGCAATTTAGAATGTGAGAGCAAACATCTGACTCTCTCAAGAATGGTGCGATTCATTCTCTCTGCAACCCCGTTCTGTTGAGGTGTCTTTTTAACTGTCTTTTCATGCCTGATACCATGATTTGTGCAATACTGATCAAATGGTCCAATATATTCACCACCATTATCCGAGCGAACACATTTCAACTGTCTACCTGTTTCTCTTTCAACCTTGGCCTGAAAAATCTTAAACACATCTAGAACTTGATCTTTAGTTTTCAGTGTATAAGCCCAAACTTTTCTAGAGTGATCATCAATAAAAGTGACAAAGTATAGAGCACCACCAAGTGTCCTAACTTTCAAAGGACCACATACATCAGAATGTACCAAATCTAAAACATGAGATTTTCTAGATGCAATGTTTCTACGGAATGATATTCTGTTTTGTTTACCATGGAAACAATGAACACAAGTTTTCAAAGGCGTACCTTTTATCCCCACTAGAAGCTCTTTCTTGGACAAAACTTGCAATCCTTTTTCACTCATATGTCCAAGCCTTCTATGCCATAAATCAGTGGATGAGTCATTCTCTAAGGTATTCACAACACCCTTGCAGATTTTTGCTTGCATAGTGTAAAGAGAACAAGTCTTCTTTCCTTTTGCTACCACTAGAGAACCTTTGGAGAGCTTCCATTTTCCATTACTGAAATTGTTGTTGTAGCCTTCATCATCTAACTTTCCAGCAGAGATTAAATTGAGTCGAATATCTGGTACATGCCTCACATCTCTAAGCAGCAATTTGCATCCAATATTTGTTTCCAAGCAAATGTCACCCATGCCGACAATTTTTGACACATCTTCATTTCCCATACGAACATTCCCAAAATCACCTTGTGAGTAAGAAGTAAAGAAATCAGCCCGCGAAGTAACATGAAATGAAGCTCCAGAATCAATTACCCAATCCGTCTCTTGGCCAATCAAATTAACGCTAGCATCATCACGGATAATCATGAGTTCATCATCGGTAACTACAGCTGTATCAATTTGCTTTTTCTCTGAATTTTTCTCTTTGTTCTGCTCCTGGAACTTGAGTTTTCTACATTCCCGCTTCATGTGCCCTTTCTTGTGACAATAATAGCATTCAACATCCTTTTTTGACATCGAGCTTGAACGACCTCTAGATTTATCACGGTTGTGCGGAACCCTACTCTTACTCCTGCCTCTCCCCCGGTCTTCCATTACAAGTGCCTCGGAGTAAGAAGAACCTGATGATTTTCTTCTTGTTTCTTCATTCAACAAACTGCTGGTAACTTGACTCATTGTTACCACTCCATCAGGTGCGGAGTTACTAACTGTGACCACCAAAGTTTCCCAGCTTTCGGGAAGTGAACTAAGAAGTAACAAAGCTTGCAACTCATCATCAAAAGTAATTTTCATGGCGGCCAACTGATTCACAATGCTCTTAATCTCATTCAAATGCTCTGCAATAGAAGTACCCTCCTTATATTTAGAGTTCACAAGCTTTCGAAATAAAAAGGCTTTATTCACTGCCGTCTTTCTATCATACAAACTCTCCAATTTGGTCCAAAGACCATGTGCAGATTTTTCTGTAGAGACATGATGAAAGACACTATCATCAATCCATTGCCGAATAAAACCGACAGCTTTCCGGTCTAGCTTTTTCCACTCGTCATCTTTCATCCCTTCCGGTTTGCCACTATCACCCTCTATGGGTCCATTCAAATCTTTACAAAATAAAAGATCTTCCATTTTAGTTTTCCAAGTCACCCAATTTGTGCCATTGAAACTAACTATACGTCCAACGTTGCCGTCCATAATTCACACACAGAAATATAACGAATCGGAACCGAATTAACCAATTGCTCTGATACCAGATGTTGGGAAAATAGGCTTTCCCACAAGTGTAAATCAATGGAAGCAATATAAATAAAATAACAGAAAATAAATAAGCACACAAGATTTACGTGGTTCCCTCAAATAACTTGAGGTACATCCACGACGACCGGTAGGTCAGTTTCTTCCACTATCACCAAATCAGATTACAAAGTGGCCAAAAGGCATAAGCCTTACAAACACACCAAGGTGTAAATCACAAGAGGAAAATACCTCACAAAATAAGTGAACCAAATCTCCAAGAACAAACCGCAAGAAACCCAAATATCAAGTGAAGAAATGTTACCCACTTGAAGAACAAATTTGCAGATTTTTCTGGCACCAAAAAGGAGAAGAAGAAGGCTGAATTTTTATTGAACCAAAGACTGCCGAAAATATGTCTTCTTGCCAAACCAACAGAGAAGCGATGAACCAAAGAAAAGGACAAAACTTATAGTCTTTTGGTGGCTGCCAAATTCCTTTTAACTTGAAGACTCCAAATCAAGTCTTGGATAAGAGTCATACACAGATAAGCCATCAAAAAATTAGCAAATTGATGAGTCCCACAAAGGAAGGAAACCCAACAAGTTACTCGCCAAGAACTCAAGTCTATCGATTTAAATAACTTACACACATGCGTAGGTTCGGCTTCGCTACTAGTCTGCACATTATCAAGTCTATTCCTACCTTTTAGGTTAGATCCAATCTAGGAATCTTTTAACCTGTTAACAACTAGTTAATAATATATTAGTAAAGTCAAATTCCTTATAATACAGTTAGTCTAGCTATTACATGCCATCTTAACAGTGGAAAAGGTTTAAAAGTTCAAATTTAGGATTAAAAATCGAGTCAAATTTGTTGAATTTATTTTTATAATCGAGTCAAAAAAATTGTTTAAGTCTAAACGAGCCGAGTCGAACCCGAGCTAAATTTGAGTATTTACATATAAACGAGTTAAATTTATCGAACTCGTTTTTTAAACGAACATAAAAAACTATTCAAGTTCGATTTTTTTTTTTTAAACGAAATGAGCCTGAATAGCTCAATTCGAGTATCAGCCCTACTCAAGATTATTAACTAGCAACCAAAATTATATGAATAAATGAAATCAAATCCTTAAATCTAAAAAATGTTGGGGAAAAATTAAAACATTAAAAACCCAAAAAATTGCTCTAACAATTAAATGTTTGGGGTGAGCATAAAAACGCAGCTTCCCTCTTCAGACTAATACATGGGAAACCTAATTTACTTGACAGGTGTCAATAACTGGCAGCGAGTCTTCTTAAAAATTGTTTCACTCTCCTACCTACCACCTCGGGTATCTACCAAAATTAATTATAATTATGAAGTTTAGTTTAGATAATTTTTAAATATTGATTCAAACAATAATAAAATAATAAAAAAATTATAAAATAAAAAATACATGTGTCACAATTAAAAAAAATTAATTACACCATGAAAAATTATAGAATTTTTACTTTGCACATTCAAAAATTAGATTTTTTATATTAAAAATATTGCAATGTGAATTTTTTGTTAGTTTTTGTCATTTATGTGTTCAAGAGTAATTTTTGTGGAGTAAATAATAAAGGGAGAATTACATCCAGATTCTTTGAGGTTTGTCACTTAATCACTTAGACCTTTAACATTTGAAATATTACACACAAACCCCATGAGATTTGTACACGCGTAACACTTAGACCCCTGTTGTAATAAATATATCAGTTAATAAATTATATTTAAACTCCCATAAAGTTTGTGGATATATAATACTTAGACCATTTAAGTTTAAAATATTATACTTAGACAAAAAATATTCTAATTAAATATAAAATATAAAATATTTTAAATTTTACAATCAAAATTCATATTCTATTGTATGATTTATTGAAATAAAATTAAAATTAAAAATAAAAATTTAATTTTTTCATAAAAAAATCGTAATTAGTATACAATTATACCATTTATTAAAATAAAATTAAAAAAAATCAAACAATGGATCTAAGTCATTCATAATAGAACATGAATTTTATATTCAAAATTCATGTTCTATTATGTTATTTATTGAAATAAAATTAAAAATAAAAAAAATAGTATATATTTATACTATCTATTAGAATAAAGCTAAAAAATTAAATAACGAATCAAACTGTAATTGACACAATATCTTTTAAATTTAATTGAGATAATTTGGTATTTTAATTTGATTGTTTGAATGACTAAATTAAATTCTAATAGACAATATAATTACATACTAATTACAATTTTTTTAAAAAAGTTGAATTTTATTTTAATAATGATATAATAGAACATGAATTTTAATTGAAAACTTTAAAATATTTTATATTTTATATTTGATTAGAGTATTTTTGACATAAGTATTATATTTTAAATTTAAAAGATCTAAGTATTATATACTCACAAACTTCAGGAGGTCTAACTATAAATTATTAACAAATATATTTACAGCAGAGGTCTAAATGTTAAGCGCGTACAAATCTCAAGAGGTCTGAGTTATTAAGTAACAATTTCAAAGGATTAATTCTTACAATAATAAAAGTTGGCGAAATGATGACATGTTTTAATATATTAAAAATAAATATAATAAATTTAATAAGGGTGTAAAATGAGATTCCCCCAATTAAAAATGTCCACCCAAGTAAACAACGACTAAGCTAGAGAGAGAAGAGGCCGAAGAGGAGGGGTTGGTGTGAGATTGACCCAACAACCTCTCTCAAGTCTTCTCTGCTCCTTCCTTTCCTTTGCTTAAAACCCCATGAGCTCCTTCATTTTTTTCAGCTTGGAAGTTCCCTGCTCAGAGAACAACAAGCTACTAATTCTCTTTCTCTCTAATTTGTTCCAATTTTTCGAGCTTTTTTGTTAATTCTACTCCAGACCCAAATCACAAAACATGCAGTCCCTCTCTCCATCTTCCTCCAGTATTACGCTCAAATCCCTAATCAGGAAATCATCTCCGAATTGGACTCATCGGGTCAGCCCAAGTCGACTCGTTACTCAGTGTGCTCACCCATTCGACTCAGCTAACGGTTATGGGGCTATCGCTGCGAACTTTAATGTTGCCGGCAGCATCGGCGACAGGCGGGCGGACTGGCAGAGCTCATGCGCAATATTAGCGAGCAAAGTGGTGTCACAGCAAGAAGACACCGAAAAAGCCGGCGGCTCAGACAACATCACTGCCGTTAACGGCCATAGAACCTTAGATCTAGTACAAATCGAGAAATTACCTAAACCATTGGCCATCACGGACCTCTCTCCAGCTCCGATGCACGGATCGCAGCTCCGCGTCGCCTACCAAGGCGTTCCAGGGGCATACAGTGAAGCTGCTGCCGGAAAAGCCTATCCGAACTGCGAAGCCATCCCTTGTGACCAGTTCGAAGTTGCTTTCCAATCAGTCGAGCTCTGGATCGCGGACCGCGCTGTTCTTCCCGTCGAAAACTCCCTCGGCGGCAGTATCCACCGGAACTACGACCTTCTCCTCCGCCACCGCCTCCACATCGTCGGCGAAGTCCAGTTACCTGTTCATCACTGCCTCTTAGCTCTCCCAGGCGTCCGAAAAGAATACCTAAACAGAGTAATCAGCCATCCCCAAGCACTATCTCAGTGTGAACACACACTGACAAAGCTTGGCCTCAACGTTACCCGTGAAGCCGTTGACGATACCGCCGGCGCAGCAGAATTCATTGCCGCCAACAATATCCGCGGCACTGCCGCTATTGCATCTGCACGCGCCGCCGAATTGTACGGACTCGATATCTTAGCCGACGGAGTACAAGACGATTCCGGCAACGTCACGAGGTTCGTGATGCTGGCTCGCGAGCCGATAATTCCCCGAACCGACCGGCCATTCAAGACCAGCATAGTGTTCGCTCACGACAAGGGTACGAGTGTACTCTTCAAAGTGTTGTCAGCGTTTGCATTCAGGAACATAAGCTTGACAAAGATCGAGTCTCGTCCTCACCGGAACCGGCCTATCAGGTTGGTCGACGATGAGAACGTTGGAACAGCGAAACACTTCGAGTACTTGTTTTACGTGGACTTCGAAGCGTCAATGGCGGAAGTTAGGGCACAGAATGCTTTGGCGGAGGTTCAGGAGTTCACGTCTTTCTTGAGGGTGCTCGGAAGCTACCCAATGGACATGTCTCCTTGGTGCCCGTCGGGGGAGATTAACAAATCCCAAACTACTTCTTTTCGTTTTTTTTTTAATTTAAAGTAAATTCAATTTGAATGTAATCTTGCTTTTTAAAATTGTTTTTTCCATTCGGTATAGTTTTTTGAGTTATGTGTAAGATTGTAACAAAATATGTTTAAAATGTTTAGTGGTCTACGCCTTTTTTTTAATGCATTTTTTTGGGAAAAAATGGATCTTATTAGGATCGGTAATGAGTTATGTTAGGTTGGATTTATATCTTGTTTACGTAAATGTCCTATTAAACTTGGTTTACATACTAATTTATGATGATGCATTTTTGGGTTAGCGTAATGTCTATTAATTTTTAATTTTGTTTAACTGGTTAATAAGGCTAAAGCCCCACTAAAGATAAAGGATTGTCCATGACTTTGTGCTCATGTCATGTCACAAAGTTAATCTTTTGGTAGCTTAAGTCACTGAACGGAATAAAAAAAAAAAATGATGTTGTTCAAATTTGTTTCGTTTGTATTAAGAAGCAAATATTATATGTATTGGACGATAGATATATATAATATGTTCGTATAAATCGAATGGAGACAGAGATAGACTAAAACTCATTTCCATCGTGCCTTCGCCCCACCACTCCTCAGCCCATTAAACTCATAATATATATATCATTAGGACAAATGGCCTAACATCCCACACGCGACTTAGGTGCAGAATTATAGGAACAAAAAAAAATAATTATAACATAATTAATATAATAATTTTAAAATAATATTTATCTAACATAATTAAATCACAATTAAAGTTATATTAGATCAGAAAAACGGATAAAAGTCAAGATCTTATTTATATATAAAGGCAAGCTAGTACAAGGAAACTTACAGAGATTTTTTACGAAGGGCATGATTACACTAGGAGAATATTTACAAGAGAGGAAGACTTATGGCCAAGGGAGGTAGGTGGAAAAGAAAGAAAGAAAAGGAGACGTAGGGAGAATTCTTATGCTAGAGAGTCTAAGGTGTGATACTCTACAGGTTGGGCCTGCACCAGTTTTTATAAAGTTGAATATGAAATTTTGATTTTAAAATTAATCCATACTATTCACAATTTTTTACTGTATACAATCTTAATAATTTATATTAACATCATTACATATGTCAGTGATACCATATATAATACTGTACAAATATAATAATTTAATGGCGGCGTCGTGGTGTCTCCAGATTCGACTTTATTTAATCATTTCTTATAAAACAAATTATACAATATATTGCCACTGTCATCATGGAGATTTATCTCTATGTTATCATTAAGTAAGTCTTCATTAATAGAAACATCACTTTTAATAGGGATATATCCCTGAAAATCCATAAAATCATTATCAGAGGCAATAAGAGAGTGTGTTTTCCTATCTTTCTCCTCAACTTTATTTTTTCCTTTGCCTTTTATGGCAACTGTAGGAGTTTGACGAGATCAATCTTTTCAGTTTTAGCCATTCCATGGGTGGACGTCATCTGAAAATGTCATTCTTCCATAATCGTTGCTTTAAACTGCTCAGTATTTAAATAAGATTTTTTTTTAATTTGTTCTTTAAGAACTTCAACATGATTGAAGTTAGTTCTAGTATTTATACTAGTAGTACGAACAAGAGCCGTAGAAATTGAAGATTTATCTTCCTCTTTATCCATGTCTTTAAGACATTTTATGGCAGTGAGCCATTTATCAAAATAATGATTCTCCATATATAGAGATAAAGTTAAAGTTTTGAGAATAGTCAAAAGGGCTTTATCCCTCAAGCTATGCTCATTTAACTTATTATTGTCATTTTTATGTGACGAGTTGTCTTCTTTTAAGAAGTGTCTGATTAACAGTTTTAAGTTGTAGTTCTTGAAAAGGTGGATAATAAATATTTGTATATGTATTAAAGTAATAAACATTCTTATATGGATCAAAATAATACTCATTTTTATATGCAGAATAAGTATTTTTATGTGCATCAGAATAATATGCATTTTGATATGCATAGACTTGTGATCTCACCATTATACCACCAAGTCTTGTTAACATGAGATGGAAAAATTCTTTTGGAGCAAGGTTCTCCATCCATTGCTTATATTTCTAGTCATAATACCAATCATTTATCTCAAGAATGAGACAAATTTAAAAAAATAATAATAGCTTTGGCAATTTTTAGTAGAAAGAGAGGGACATGATCAGCCAACTGTTCTTCCATAGCATTGCAATAGAGACACCAAAGTAAAATTTTGTAATAATTATTTTGTCATGTAGAGGCAAAACTAAAAATATCTTTACCTGCATAATTACAAATATAATCAAGAAGTTTTGGAGAATTGACAATAGGGACCAAGGGAAATAAATCTTTGCTAGGATTCATCTCTGAAACTTCTTGCTTATTTTTTGCAATAAAACTTTCAGAAGGGTTAATAAATAAATCAAAATAATTTTTTTTATAAATCAAATTTTCTTTTATTTGATTTATTAGCTTTATTTGAGGTGAAGTTATGAATTTAAATAATATTAGGTTTGTAAAATCAAAAATTAATGTATATGACTTAATTAAAATATTTATACTTAATTCATTCATATACAAAATAGTTTTATAATTATTAGCCTGCATTTGACAATGTGATGAACAAGCTTTATCTTGCTCTTCATCGAAAGATGATTCACTTATTTCATCAATTTCATTGATATTACAGGAGTTACCCTCAGAAAATGAAGTAGTTGCAAATTCTTCCCCTTCAATTTTTGAATTTAAAACAATTTTTAAAATTTGATCTTTAAGATTTTCATCCATAATTATTTCATTTAGTTTTTGTTTAGTTAGGCATTTAGAAGTAATATGACATTCTTTTCCACACTTAAAACACTTAATAGGTTTTTTTATCTTTTGCTTTTAATTTTTTAGTGGGTTTATTACCTTTATCCATTTCGTAATTCCTTTTATGGAATTTTCTTCTTTTTTTATATGGTTTCTTGTTAGATTTTCTTTTAGATGAAGATTTATCTTTTAGAATATCAAGATTATAAGCAAACTGATTGCAAAATTCTTCAAGCTCTTTTCGATTAGTTAATCTCTGTCTCTTAAGTTGAGCTTTAAAATTTAAGTCATTACAGAGAGCTAATCCTTCCGAAATATATTCAAAAATTAATTCCCCATACGTATAATTTTCATAAAGAATTTTAAATCATTCATGTCTCTGTCTTAACTGAATTCTTGTTTTTTCAACAAATAAACTAGGTAGTCTTGATATAAATTTTTCTTTCCAAAATTCATTATTAGCATCTGGTCTTAATAAAATTTTTGTCAAAAATACACCTTTATACCACCTAAAATGTGTTAAGGTGGGGTATCTCAAATTCATTAATAGTTCTTTACTCTTATATGTATTTTGTAGACTTGTTCCAACAAAATGTTTTAATATGATTTGTATTAAAGATAAACAATATCTTCTTGAGTAGTTATACTACCATCTTGAGCTGCTATAACTTTTACTGCATTTAAATTTCATTTCGTTGGATGTGTGTGTAACAAATAAAATAATTAAGTGAAACACACATTTTATATATATATTATTTTTGTGAGTTTTTTATGTTTGATCCATTTGTTATATAATGAGTTTTCATGCTTCTTACAAATCAATTTATAAAGTTTTATAGTTTTTTTTAAAAAAAAATTTCTTATAATCATAAAAATTAATTATTAATTATTATGTAGGGGTAGAGGGGGGGTGGGGTGGGGTGGGGTGGGCAGGGATAGAGATCAAAATTTATCTGCGGAACAAGGACATGGATTAAAAGTTTCCTCACTAACGAGGGTAGATGAATATTTTTGAAGTGGATACGAGAACAGAGACTATTCCCCTGCCCTCACCCCGATCTACGGTCATCCCTAAGGTCAAGTGATAATAAAGATGAGTTGTAAATTAAAACATTCTGAATTCAAATTTGGCAACCCCTTGAAACTAGGTATGCCTCATGAATATTCTAGTATCGGCATGGATGACCTGTCTTTGACTGAAATCGAGAAAAAAATTAATCGAGATATGTGTAAACTGACTCAAACATTTCTAACCATTGAACTAAATAATATATCATATCACAAGTTTGCATGTTACAAACCAATAGTCTTAGATTTAAAAATGTATTGGGCTAATCTTACCATATAAATTCTAAATGTGCATAGCCAAAAACATCAAGTTAAGTGGACTTGACTTTGCAAAAGAGTTAGTAAATCATTACATCCTATAAATTGATAGACTAGCATGAAAAAAAAAAAAGAATATTGGTTTAGACATGTAAGTATTAATTTTTAACGTTTTACATTTTCTTGTAGAATTGTGAAAACAAAAGTAGTGATAATTGATGAGCCCGATTTAACTAGTTCAGGCCCAATGAATTAAGAGAGACCCACGTCATCTCAGAGTCCAAGTAATCAAGTCAAGGAGGAGCCCAAGGGGTACACCCCCAAGGGGACACCCTAGAGGGGCACCGCCCAAGGGGGCCACCCCAAGGGGATCCCTTCCCTCCTTTGTTCCACGCTCCCTCTCTTGTGCAACTGTGCAATGCTTCACTCTCTTGACTTTGCCACTCTAACTCAAGTCCAACCTAGCTCAAAATCCTCCTCCTGACGAATTAGGAGCACGAGGAGAGAATATCAGATATGCACAGAGGTCTAATCTTACCATAATTGTACTTATCAAAATAGTAGAAGCACTCTCTCTCACATCATCGCCTTACTAAACCTATATAATGAAAATCCTCTCCACATAAAGAACAAGACATTCAGACCTCACAAATATCTCTCTACACACATTGTCTCACTTTCTCTCTCACTCCCAAGCTTTGTAATACACCTGGAGTTACTCTCTTGGTTACATTATTCATCAATAAAACACTTCCAACCACCGCTGTCATTCCCGAGAGTAGAGTAGTTCACTCTGATCAAACCACTATAAATCTACATGTTTGATATTATTTATTGTTTTGTCATTCATTGCCTGTTTACTACTTATTAATTGCACCTCTTACATATTTTTGATTGTTGATTTTGCGCAATACCGATTTATACATCATTAGTTTGACGTCATCTATGAGAATCGATTAGTTTTCCTACTCTTTTTCAATCCATGACAATCACTACCAGATTAATGAGTCAACAACTGGGAGACAACAATTCGGCCCACTAGGAGGGGACTCCACCTCCCCTCGCACCCTCGGAGCCATCTGTTGCCGCAACTCCAGCCGTCGGGCAACAGCAACAGCTCTTACAGACTATGCAGCTGCTGGTAAAGCAAAACCAGT